GGGCTCAGCACATTCCTGGAGCTCACTGATCCGCCAGCTGAGCCTAAACCAAGAAGTCCGTCTCAGAAACTGAAGGGGAGCACAGCAGAGGAAGACACTGAACGCCGGTGAGACCACACATGCACAGGAACGAACATGTGTGTGTGCACAGACCACACCTACATCCACAGACAAACTTTGTTGTTGTTGTTGTTGGGTTTTGTTTTTGTTTTTGCTTCTGGTTTTTGAGACAGAGTCTCACCAGGGAGCCCTAGCTGTCCTGTAACTCACCACCTAGACCAGGCTGGCCTTGAACTCACTGAGCTCTCCCTGCCTGTGCCTCCTGAGCGCTGGGATTAAAGCCATGAGACACAATGCCTGGCTTCACAAATAAGCCTTTCCAAAACACAAAATAACTTTTAAAAAGAGACGCCAGCGAACTGCCTCTCTCCTGACATGCGCTGAGAGGATGTTGTAAGGTAGCCATCTACCAGCAAAGGCGGGCCTCGCCTTAAACGGAATCAGCTGCCACCCAGATTTTCACGACATATTGTTAAGTGGGGAAAAATAGCAAGTCAAAACACCATATGCACAATACAACATTTATGTAAAACAAAATTACAATATAAATATCTCTTTGCCATCCAACATAAATTTTTCAGTATGATGTATACAGAGAAACTTTTGGAAAGGATAATTATGAAAAAATTATAGTGATAGTAATGTGGGAAATTTTCCTACATTATTTATAAAAAAGTAGAATAAAAATTTGATAGTAACAATTACAAACAGTGATAATGATGTAGACACATTAGTCATAAGAACTGTAGAGTCAAAGTAAAAGCATACAGAAACTCCAGGAAAAACAAAGAACAGAAAGGAATTTAAATCCTAATTAGTGTCTGTTGTCCAAAACCCAATATTTATGCAGTCACCATCAACGGCAGCAAAAAGGAAATAAAAGGTCAAGCATTAGAGCAGGAAGCCCAATGTAGAGGTTCATCCTGTAATCCTAGTACTCAAGAGACTCAGGCTGGGGCTGGAGGCCTACTGTGAGTTTAAGGTTTGCCTAGGCAAACCAGATGTGAGACCCCATCGCAAAAGGAAGAACAAAAGAGTTGGGTGCAGTAGCACACGCCTGTGATCCCAGCACTAAGGGAGGCAGAGGCAGGGGGATCTCTGTGAATTCAAGGCCAGCCTGGTCTCCAGAGTGAGTACAGGACAGCCAAGGCTACACAGAGAAACCCTGTCTCAAAAAACAACCAAACAACAAAAACAAAAAACGGAGCAAATGAAGAGGTTAGCTAAATCACAGACAATCACATAATCACATGGAAAGATTGCCAGTTTTCGTGTCTATTAGGGAGACAGATAAAAACTAAAACCATAATGAGGGTTGGCAAGATTACTCAGCCGACATGATGGAAGAAAGAACCAAGTCAGCTGTCCTCTAACTTCCACACAAACATCTTCCACACAAACAAACGCTCCTAATCCCAGGACGGGAGAACACTATGATGAGATAGCACTACCTAAATAGTCAGAGCAATGGAGTAACACGGACAAGACCAGATGTTACCAACATTTTGCAAAATCTAAGATTCTCGTAAGCTCTTAATAGGGATGAAAACGGCCCTGCCGTCTAGGGTTTATTAAAATGCTGCCTCCACAGCTCAGCCACTGCACTCACCTATCTTAACAGAAATGAAAGCTAGTCCACACAAAAAGCGCAATCTTTCTTCCAACAGCCCCACACTGTTTCACACGGGCTGGATGCGTTCATGATCGAGCAGACTGGTCCATCCTCACTACAGGATACCAGCCAGCACTAGGAAGTTACCTGATGCTTCGCCCTGTGTGTCTCAAGGACATTATCCTGAGTAGAAGAAGAAAGCCACCTGAAAGGTCATCTGTTGGGTGGTTCTTTTCCTGTAGCATTCTAAAAATGGCAATACAGAGATGGAGAACATATTTGTGGTTGCCAGGGATGAGGGCAGTTAAGAGAGGAAAATGGGCGTGATGGGAGGGCATCACAAGGGGACGACTGCAGTCACAAAGTTCTTTACTGCAACTGAAGCTCAATGCATATGCAAATTTGGCTTGTATTAAACCTACACATGTGACAAGATGGCCTAGAACTATGCACAAATTGTACAAGCTTTAATCCCTGGCTCTGATGGTGTACTGATGAAGGGCACACAAGACTCTGTCCTGTTTTACTACCTTTCTGCAAATCTATAGTTACTTTAAAATGGTTTTTTAAAGGAACATCAGAGTGGAAAACAGAGCTCTGAGAAGTTAAAAAGATGGTGGGTCTGGGAGATATCGCAGTCAGTGAAATGATGGCTGGGCGAGTCTGAGGAGCTGGCAGCGATCACCAGAACCCATGTGAAGAAGCTGGGGTCATGTGCCTATAATTGCAGTGCTAAGGAAGCAGAGACAAACGTGTCCTTGGCGTGTGCTATGTAAACAGCATCTGAGCAGAGTACCTGCGGTTGCTGACCTGTGTATACACACGCGGACCCTGCCCCACATACACCCACACACATAAAACACACACATGACACAATTACAGTCAATACAAGAATTAGGAAACACAAATCTCTTTCCCTCTCTCTCTGGGATTTTCAAGGCTTCCCTGTCCTCAGAGTCCCTCTGTAGACCAGGCTGAGATCAAGGGTGTGCTCCATCACTGCCCAGCACAAAGCTGAATTTCTTAAAGCAGAAAGACAAAAACAGAGAGGCAGGAGATAAAAATCATAATAAAAAAATTCACAGCCAGTTACACCGCATAGAATAGCAAAATGATGAATCCAAGAAAGAGAGTGAAGGAAATGAAGTCAACGGTAAAGTAATTCAAGAAAAATTTACAAACTAGAAAGATACACGTTTCTGCTGTTTAACAAAGTGAGTGAAAACAGACCACAACAAGGAATCTTTTTGTGAAATGTCATAACACCAAAATGAAGCTTCCTGAGAGGAAAAGCAAGTCACAAAGCAACAGAATAGCTTTGGATTTTTCTACAGAAACACTGGTGTCTGGGTCACAGAGCAATGTCTTCAAGATGCTGCTGTTTTCCAATCAACAAGTCTATCCTAAGCCACAGTCAGGAAAATAAATAAAGTGGATGTAGAACAGAAAGTCTTAGATATGCTTTACATTTTGGGTAAATAAAAAGACTGAATTCTTTCTCAAGGATTCCTGGAGAATGTCCTCCAGTCAAGAAAGGCAGTAATGACAGCAACTGTTTGTCCCGTCCTCCTCTAACACATTCCTCATCCTCTTCCTGATTTCACTCATGAGAACCCATGAGTGGTCTCAGCTGGGAATCAGTCACCCATCTCAATGCCATCTCTCAAAGGTGACTGTATTTGCTGGAGTGTTTTACACCTAGTATTTCTCCTTAATTCTGCCCCTACTCTTAGCCTCAGTTTAGACATACGTCAACATAGCCACCTAACAGATATCTCTGCTTCTTGCCTTGGTCTGCTCAGCTCCATCCTCCATCCTGAGAGGACTGTAACTGTGCCTGAAATGCAAATCTGATCACAACACTAAGACCCCTTAAACGCTTCCTGCGCTCTGATCAAAAGGCGGAATAATTATACCGTCACTCTAGCACTGCCTCCTCACCTCACCGGATCTGATACTATTTTAGTTCACAAAACATAGTTTATTTCTAGGACATACTGTTGACACGCACACACTGTGGAATTGTTAAATCAAGAGAGCTGGAATTCTCTTGGCTAACCTGAAATAAACGTTAATGTTTTAGCCACCCTGCTGTGCAATTTCAAAATTTTAAGTTATCTTAACAAACTTTCTCTCCTGTGACCAGCATCTCTTAGTCTCTGAAACCCTAACCCCAACTTCTGATGACCATTACTCTAATTTGTACTTCAATGAATTGGGCTTTAGCTTCCAAACGTAAGTGACTCTATGCGGTATTTACACAGTACTGTCAAGGCTGGGTGCACACCTTTGAATGCCAGCGTGCAGGAGGCAGGTGGATCTCTGTGAGTTTGAGACCAGCCTGGTTCTCGGACAGGCAGAGTTCCAGGGCAGCCGGGAGTTATATAGTGAGACTATCGTGAAAAGCGAAAAACATGAAATAAAATCATAGACATTTTATGATTCATATGACATAGACATCTATGTCTATCGTCATAGACACGATAGCACACACGGTACAGTTCCGTCAGGCACCAGCCATTCACCAGGAAACAAAAAGACCTACAGCCGGTGTCTGCTACAAAGGTGCACAAGGCCCCTCTTGACTCGCCTCTTGCTCTGTAGACCTCTACTGAGGCTTGCTCATGCTCTTCTACCCAGAATGCTCTTCAGCTGACTAGGGAACAAAGGGCCTTGCTGTGTTGGGAACCTTCCAGCTGGAGAACCTCCTTGTCTCAGCTGAGTCCTGGCCTCCCCCTTACACCTCAACTCCCGTCTACAGGCTTCCATCACTAGACTGAGAAGGGTAGAGACTTTTTTTTTTGTCGTCTTTGTAGGCCTGGCACTTTGGTAAGAGTCAAGTGATAGCGGGTGACATTAAACTGGTACAGTGCAGAAGGGCGCTGACGGTAAACGAGAGGAACACAGTGAAGGGTGCAAAGGAAGGGGTGCCGTGTTGGGCTGGTTGCCACAGCTCGGTCGGCTGCACCCCGACTCTCAGAAGTGACGGGCCCTGCATCTCCTTCCGCGTTTCGGGGGCACGTTTCACTTCCTTGGCAAGTGTCAGCCTCGACTGGAAACTCCTGGAAGGCAGGGGCTGTGGCTTGGCGTGCGCGGCTCCTCCGAGCCTCACTGCGCGCCGTCGGGCCGGCCCTGGCGGGGAGGGCACGCCGGGCACCCCGGGCGCCGCCTGCCGCGGGGCCCAGGCCTGCCCCGCCCCGGCCCTGCGCTCGGCCCCCTCCTCACGCCTTCCAGGAGGCGGAAGTGGCCGGCTCTCGTCCCTGCCCACGTGGCGCCTTTTCCGGTGCGCCCGCCCCCGCCGGCTCTCGGGTCCGGACGCGGCCCTCACCTCAGGGTTCCCAATGTGCCTCCGGGCAGACATATCTGCTCCAACCGACCACGCTCGGGCTTCTAGCCTCACGTCTCGCCACTAATCTAGCCTCCTACCCGCACCCAGCCCCGCTCGGCCGCCCCCCTGTAACCTCTCCTCCGATTGGCCCGGCCGGCCAGGGCGGCCAATCGGCGCTCCGCTTGCTGCGCCGGCCGGGCGGGCGCGAAGCGGCTCCATGGTTGCCCGGGGCAACGCGGGACGCCCGCTCGCGCAGCTCCGAGCCCCGGGCCGGCCCCGGCCTGAGCGCGGGAAGGCAGGCGCGGGGGAGGGGAGGGGAGGCCGGCGCCTGCGCACAGCGGAGGAGCGGGCGGCCGCGGGCTGAGCGCGAAGTCAGCCCCGCTCGCCCCAGCCCCTCGCAGAGCCGTTCTAACAAAACGTCGGGGCTGCGCCTTCCGCGACGGGCGAAGTGCTACGGCCCACGGGGGCTTAACGGCAACGAGAGTGCAGAGTTGATTATTTCCAGGTTTAAGTTATTATGCAAATTATGCAAAATAGCATAAGTAAACACTAATTATGGTTGCTGCAAAAGCTTTTAGTCTAGCTAAGGAACGGCAGCCTTAATTGCAAAGAGCACGCGCCGTTCGGTGTCTCATCATTCATTTAACAAGTGTTTAATAAGCACCTTAGGGGGAGAGCGGCTGCACGCTCTGTGGAGGATGGGAAGGATGACAAAACCCAATCCCGTTGTCATGGAAACCATTGTGACTCCTGCCACCAACCACCACCTGTTCTCATACCAGATCTGAAAATTGAGTCCTAGCACCTTTACAAAACAATTACCCACACAGTTTGATTCGTTTCCTAAATGTCCCACCAAATCCATCAAAATTCTTATTTCCCTCTTACAGGGAAGGAGCAGCACGGTAGCCCTTTGTCCTTCGCGCTAAGTCGTTTTTCCGGGAATAGAGAGAGGTCACACACTCCATTCCTGCTCATACTAGCTAGTTCTGGGCAAATTATAACGTCCATGTGAGCTGCTGCAGGGTCTTTGCAGATGCCCCTCTCGACAGCGCGGTCTCCCTTACCCTGTCCTCTCAGCTGCTTCAGGAACCTGGTGTTAGGACCATATCTCCGATCAGGCCGTTCAAACAGGCTGGACCTCCGGGATCTTGGAGCGTCTTCACAACCGGCCCCTGCACTTTATCCACTTTATTCACTTTTTATTACCTACCAAGGCTTATCTTAACCTTTACCGTCTCTAGTCCTTTAACCCTTCTCAAATTTCCACTCCCTCGTCACCCTACTAGCATAAAGGATTGGGGTCTGCAACAAACTAGGAGGGAGGAGGCAGGAGGATATTTATCAGATCTTTGCATAGGGAGCAGGAGCTTCTAGACACATTTAGAATGTATGCCCTTGTGCAGTGTGGAGTGACCAAAGGGACGGTAGGATGGCTTAGTGGACAGAGGTCCTGCCTGCCAGAGTGGATGAGGTCATGCCCAGGAACCTTCAGGGCTAAAGGAGAGGCTGTATCAAGGGGAGCTATGCGTCTTTCAGCTGAAAAACAAGGCACTAATGAAGTTACAGAACACAGTCGAGTCCCAAGAGCAGGAAGCCGACTGTCCAGACCCCATTCTGCTGCTGTTCACCAAGGCGGGGTCACCTTTCTGCAAGACTGCTAACGTTTGTCCCAGTGGGTGTGGAAATGTTAGCTTTGCTGACCTTAGTGGCCACTGTGCTTAGGGCCGCAGACAAGGCATAGGTTACACAAGTGTGTAGCCTTCAGCTGATGCCACCTTGTTCCTGGATGAAGCAGTTTAAACACATCTCCTTCTCCATCCTCTGCGTTTTGATGCGGAGGAGCCCAGAGGCCTCAAGAAGAGCCGCCCTTGCTTCCACAGTGGACTCTTTGGTAGTGTCAAGCTACAAAAAGAAAGGCTTGTAGCATCAAGATTCCTTTCACATCCTACTTGTGTCAAAACCAACCAGATCAAAATTAAAGGAAGGTGTTTACTCTCAATATGAAAAACAGCTAAATGCGATCAAATGAAAGAAAACATTCAGTAAACATAGTAAGACACGTCTAACAAGACAGAGAACTGTCTCATTTTTCAACTAGCAGACAAAAGAGATTTTTCTTTCTAAAATGTTGACCAGATAGTGTCCAGTGATTCTTGAGATCAACTTCTTCAGTTACTTCCAGTGTGCATATGAAGAAGTGTGACCTAGTGAACACTAGTTTGATAACGACTACAGAGAAATCCTCAAATCGTAATATCCCAGCATTTTCCCAAGGAAACAGAGTAATGTATGGCCATGGCACTCGTAGATGTTAACTGGACTCTTAAAACACCGGAAACAAACAAACAAAAACAACCTAAGTGGTCATCAAGTAAAAAGTGATTAAAATATATGGTGGAATATTCAGAAAAGATAATTTTGCAGAACCATTAAAACATATATTTTAAGGAATAATCAGATGAGAGAATTAAAATCAGTGGGTATTGGTTTAAGGGCTAGCTAGGTGGAGACATGTCCAGTAATGCCCTAAGGGGAAGAACTAGCCTTACTGCATTCTTTCCCCGCCCACTAAATAACAGTTGCTAGGAAACCAACCCATATGACCAGGCCAGAACTGTTTGTAGTCTTGGCACCTAAAGTGGACCAATGGTTTCAAAAGTCAATTTCCCTTGCCCAGGCATGTAAGGCCCTGCTTGCATTTTTTTCCCTTTAAAAACTCTGTATCCCTAGACCTCGGGGCCGCATTCCTCTTCTGTTTCCACAGGAGGTTTATGTCCAGTGTTCGAACGCGTATACAATTTAAAAAAACTCATGTATTTACAGCGGAGTCTATTTATTCCTGGTCTTTTGGGGCTCTTGAACTGGGCAGAACAAGAGCAACAGAGAACTACTCCTGATACACTAAATGAAAAGAATTCTGAGAAACTTAATATGACCCTGATATGTATGGAGAAAAAATGCAGGTATCCATAGGGGGAAAAATGAAAAAAGTTAATAAAAGCTGTGTCTGGATTACAGAATACAGATGTTTGTTGTACTCGGCCAACATTTTGTGAGTTTCACAGGTTTTCTTTGGCAACTATGGACTCACTCCATACTTTAACAATCCCATTCTTCCCCTAAGAAACAAAACTCATCGTGCTGGCTACATCCTGAAAGCTGTCTATGGCTTTGTCTGGACTGATTTAGGCCAGAGCGGAATTCTGGGTAATTCCCCTATGTGAAGAGCTGCAGTTCTTGGCAGTTAAAGACTCTCCAGGCCCTTGAGTGCGATCCTTGCAATCAGAGTGGTGATTGCTGAAGAGCTGCGTGCTCTGTCTGTGTGAGAAGTTCTGATTCTTTTCTTTGGAAGTTCCTACTCCCACTGATTAATCTTATTTTTCTCCAAAGTTGGAAATGCTCTTATGAACTTCCATTTGTTTGATGTCTCCTTTTTAACCCTATATGGGTTCCCAGAAGCTTTTAGTCTCTATTGAGTTTGAGGGGAGGGAGCCTCAGGAAAGGTCAGTGTGGCTGATAGAAAGCTAGTTTGTATTTTAGGTGTCCCTGGGGCTGCTCAGTCCTCTCTCCCAAACTAAAAGGGGATTTTGGCACTAAGCAGCAAGGCCCTTTCCTGTGCTTCAAGCTCTCTGTACCTTTCTTCACCCTCTCGTCCAGCTTCACACCCTCCATCCGTTTGTCCTCCTTGTCCTCCCTTGGGTGTCAAGTCTATTTTCTTGATTAAAGCCCAAATTCCCCACTGTCTCATGATGTTCCTTTTTGGATATGGGCCTTGGCTCCCTTCCTCGGCTTGATTTCTTCTCATTTCCTAAATGACATACATGTCCAGATGTTAAGGAAATAGTTCCACCCAATCTAGCCCAGTCCTGGGATCCTCTTCTGGGCCCCTGGAAGTGGAACTTAGAGCTGAAGCAGAGAGCCTCTATCTCTCTACCCTGTGGAAGGGTCCCGTAACAGTGGCAACAATTTGGTGCCATTCTGTGTGGAATGTGTGCGAAGGAAGAGCACACCGAATCTGAGTATGATGCTGACCCTTGCCTGTACAAGCCTGTAGCCAGTCCAAGGAGACGGACTGACACGCAGAGCTACCGTCACACACAGCACTCCTTTTTGACGAAACCAAGGCACAATGGTGTGACACCCTGGTTGATTGGCTGCTGGAGTCCATGTTCCTGCTTGCAGTTCTGCAGCCACTTGTGTCTTCATCCACTTTCTGTCCTTAGAACAAGATGCCAGAGGCCAGACAAGTGACAAAGAATAGAAATTCATTTTAGTCAGAGTTGTGGGGCCGAGAAGTCTAAGGGAATGCTGGCTGCACTTGCTCCTTGCCACACCGTGACCTGACCGAGTGCGTGCTGGGGAGTGCTTCCTTGAGGGTGCCCTGTTCACCTATTAATCTGACAATCTGCTCGTGAAGACCGAGCTCTTAACGACCCTATCGCCCCTCAAATGTCCCACAGCAAAGTATGGATATAGGAGTTGGGGGTTACAGTTTTTCAAACCATAGGAGCTGGCTACATGGCTGCCTCGCTGTGACAGAATGTGTGCATGAAGTCCCCTCCCAGAAGACCTTACACCTGTGACAGAGTCTACATCTGGGTAACCCAAGGAAAGCTTTGGTCTTTGGCTTCAGATTTCCAGGGCACAGTGTTCTGCCACAGACCCAGCAAGAACAGCACTGTGAAGAGCTGACCTGGGTCAGAACGGAGGAAGATCAGAGTGCGGTGCCCTATTGTACTCTGGGTACAAGGGGTGGGCTTGTGTGCTGGGAAAAGCCCAGTGGGAACAGTGTGTCAGGTGACCACATTTGTCAAACCAACATAATAACTGGAGGTTTCGTGCAAAGATGCGAGGCCTCTAGCTTGCAAGCCCCTCCCCTTGCCTTCCTTGCCTCTCTTCTCCAAATAGGATTCTTGTCCATAAGTTCTAAACAATCAAGATCATACCGATGGTAAAAGAAAACAAAACCATGGGGGCTGGAGAGATGGCTCAGTGCTTGAGAGCACTGTCTGCTCTTCCAAAGGTCATGCCTTCAATTTCTAGCAACCACATGGTGGCTTACAACCATC